CGCACACACACACACATACACACACATACACATACACATACACACCTATTAACACTTTACGAAGATTATCACTTAATTTAAGAGATGCATTACTTGTTCCGTTTGATTTTCACAGGCGGTGTTGCATGGGCCGAGCGCTTGCCAATAGGAGGTACCATCGTGAAACACTATGCCAACAACATTCACAGTGCTAATAGAATAACGAGCATCATGAGGAAATTCCGTGCAAAACTGGTACCAAAAATAGATGCTGAAACATACTACGTCAGAAAACACGTATTTCACGCGGTGCAGCTCCTACAAGCCATTAAACGACTCACAGATGAACAGCAGCACCTCGTAGCCTTCTGAGAGACAGTGAATCTACTTTATGCCCACCTTCCTCCCCCCCAAAGCTCGCATCCAGTACTTCGCAAGATTCACGCCCGAAAGGTTTCTTCCATCCTCTCAAGATCCAAGCTTCCTGCACCGATTCTAATGGTCCAGGATATTTCGCCATCGCAACGAGACATCCCTCCGGGATGAGCATAATTAGCGAACCACAGGATCGAACACGGAAAAGTAGGAATGAATACGAATGAGTCAACCACGTGAGGTCGAAAATGAATGGAGCGACCACGCGAAGGCCACGTGGGGCACTTTTGCCGTTTCAAGACGCTTCGCCACAGTTTTTCATCCAAAACACAAGTGATTCGGCGGTCTATACAAGCTATCTGCGCGGTAAACCAAGGTGCATCGACACCCCTCCCCCTATCTCGCAGCGGATCTGCGACAAACGAAAACCCCCCACCACTTTTGAAATGAAAACGAACCGCGCAGATCCAATTGCGATAAATCGAACTTCGCGCTTTAAACCATTAGGATCTTTTCGAGACACCTCCGCCCACGCAGGCCAGACCAGGGGAGCAGAGACTTCATGGTAACGAGAGAGAAGAGACATGCAAACAGCGGCAGTGTTTGGGACATGACAGTGAAAATAGTGTGGATAACAGGGAGGGTACCGACGTTCCTATC